TAACAATGAATCTAGATCTGAATATCATTGCTAAAGCACTGAATCTCCTGAAAAAGAGATTCTCTGAGTGAAAATCTTGATATTATGAATATTAAGCTTGCTTCAACTGCAGATGTCAAAATCATGATATAAAAGATTACACTCAGTATACACAGTCAAGAGAAGCAAGAGAGTCAAAAAACTAGCAGAATCAGTGAGCTCAGAGACACTCACTGATATTCTATGAAAAGTCTTCAAAGTGAAAGAGATGCTCATGTTAGATGACTCTCTGAATTCTGTAAATGCAAAGAAGAAGCAGGCTTCTGAATAAGATACAGATGAGAATGAAGTAAACACTCATCTCAATATCTTGAGACCTGAAATGTTAATGTATACAGAGTACTTGAATAAGAATCAAGAGATAGTTGCAAAAGTGTTAGCAGATACAGAAGCTTTTACATAATATATTGATATCTTGAAGAATAACGTTGTTGTGTTGTAATCTAACTACGCGAGTTACACTAAATGAATAGGTTGAGGTGGCACGTGACTAGAGTAGGTGTAGTAATCATCAACACTCTTCCTTGCTACACTGTGGCCTATAAGCCGCCACCCGGGGCCTTCCTCATTCTCAAATCTTTCAAAAATGCAATAATAATTAATTACATCAATCAGACCCTGATTTTCTTATTAGAAAAGGTGTCTGTACAGTAATAACTGTAAAAATCAAGAAATACATGCAAAATTCACTGATTCACTGTATCATTATTATCATTCAATCATTTCTTTCTGATCTCTTTCAAATCAATTCTTTTGACAAAATCTTCAAATGCAGGCTTCACCAGTGACTTGGTGAGCTCATCAGCTATGTTTGCTGTAGAATCAACATATTTCATCATGATTTCCCCTTTTTCAATCAAATCACAGAGAATATGATATCTAATCTCAATGTGATATGACCTTCATATTAAGGATTCCCTCTTTGCTAGATCAATTGCTCTCTTATTGTCAACTCATAGATGTGAGCATATTTTCGCTTTTCCATCATTCATCAACTCAGTGTCATATAACATGTCATTCAACCAGATTATCTCACAAGCTGCCTCACTAGCTGCAATATATTCAGCTTCTATGATTGATTTGACAATAGATGTCTGTCTCTGCAAACACCATGAGATCGGTGACTCATTAATCAATATAACATAGCCAGTAGTTGATTTGTATTGAGGATCCACCCCCGCCCAGTCCGAATCACAGTATGCCACAGAACTCAGGCTCATATCATCAATCTCCTTCCTGTATAATATGCCATGGTTTTTTGTCTTCTTGACATAATGTAGGACATGCTTCAACACTGCCCAACATGCCTTGTGCGGATGTGAGTTAAAATGTGAGAGATAGTTAACTGTGAATGCCAGGTCTGGCTGACTGCTTGAGACCAAATATTGCAATGATCCCAATCCTTGATGATATCTCATAGCTGTAAAGTCATTATCCAATCCATCATTCTCATCAGGTGAAAATTCCAGTCATATGCCTGTCATCATTGAGGTCCCTGCAGGGTTGACCTTATTCATTTCAAAATCTTTCAATATTTCTTCAACATAATGACTCTGTGTAACCGCTAGATCTTCATCTCAGTATTTGATCTTCATTCTCAGATAAGATTTATCCTGTTCAACTTCTTTTGTCTCAAACCTTTTTCTAATTTTCATTAAAATTCACTCAATTTCACTCTCTTCAGGTCCTGTAATTTGACAGTCATTGATATGTAGTGTCAAGAATAACTTGTAAATTGAATGATAAAGAAATTCACTGTTGTAAGATGAGATCTTGAATCCTAGATTTATCAAGTGTTCTGTTGTAAGGAAATATCATGTTCTTGCTGCCTGTTTCATTCTGTATAAGCTCTGATGTACAAGCCCTACTAATTCACCATGACTGTGCTTGATCCCTGTGAGTAGTTGCATAAATATCATATCATTCTGAGGCAATATCTCATTCAAAAACACAGATACATAGTCAATCAATCTGACTTTTCAACCCCTTGCTGTTGATATAGTGAATAAGCTCTGTGATGTAGGTTCAGACACCACTGCTGCATATGACCTATTATAATGAATATCTTGTTATTGTAGGAATTCTCTAACCACTCAACAAGCTCTAAAGCAGATGGTTTCATCCTTGTTATTCAACTTCCAATCATACACTCATTTGTCTGTAAGAATGTTCATTTCCAGGGCCTTTTCAACAACAATATATGTCTTCTTTCATTCAAAAGTTTCCACTTCCTTCCTCATTGCCTGGTGTCAATGTTCTCAGTCATGGCTTCTTTTAGCCTCTGTCAGTGTGGTTGAACAGTCATTAAGAACACTGAGTACAGAATCTTCATCATTCACAGGGTTATTCATATCATCATTAACAAGTTCTGTCTCATCATCTAGTAGATACATCGGTTCCAGCGCACTGTTCATATCACCATCAGCAAGCATCTTTAAAACATCAGGTTTATTCTTTGCAAGTCTTCTTAGAAGGCAGTGTTGTCATCTCTTCATAGTATCAAGAACATTCAATTTCTCTGGCAGTTTGACTACTTCTCTAATGACATTCACCAGTGCTTCTTCTGTTGTCAATTCTTCATCAAAAACAATATCTCTTACAATCTCAAGCTTTCAGGTTGCAGGGTCCCAGATACAATATTGATGCAGTTCTTAATATTCAACTAATCATCATTGCTTGTCATCAGTTCTATTCACAAGCTTATTGATAATCTTCAGGTTCTTCTTATACATCTTACATTCTCATCTGCGTATTCAATGAGCAGAAGGTTAAACACCTGTTCAAGCTTCAAAAGGGGATAATGAGGTCCCCTCCTGACACCTGTAAATCTTCATTGATGTTGAGAACATGTTGATCATCATAATCACAGCTTGAATAGCTTCATCCCAAAGTTCTCTTGCAAGCCTGCTGTTAAATAGTAAGCTTCTTGTCTTTTCATCTACAATACAATTGACACATTCTGCAGGGCTGTTGGACTGTGGTGTATCAGGTGTAGTAATCTCATATGTGATCCCTTTCCACCGGCAGTAGGTCTTTAATTCATCACTTTTAAATTCATCTTCATCATCCCAGTGTAAAGTCCCAATTCGATATTGAGTAGTGGCCTCAATTTCATTAATAAAGATTATCAAATGCGCAGTGATCTCACTCTTTGACATCATAAGAATAATTCACCTGTATCATGTGGCATCATCTGTAATGCTCATTCAATAATTAGCTCTCTCATGAGTAGAGAGGTTGGTTTCATCATATAGTGTACAGTCACCACCTGCAAGGTTCATGAAGAATCTCATCACAGGTTTGACAGTTCTTGTCATTGATGCAAATGTTGAATGTGTCATTTTTATCTGTACACAGGTCTTGCAGAATGGCAAAGCCCTGTCATTCTTGATTCTAATTCTCAGTTGTGAATCTGCTGCTAATTTAGTGATATTCACAGAATTGAGATGATCAAGCTTTTGATGCCATTATAACATTGTGTGTTCAACAATCTTGATATTCTTATTGAGCAATGCTAGCAGGGGATCTTTTTTCTCTGCAGACTGTAGGATTTTTGCAGGTTCAAATTCATCATTTGGCATTGTGAATCAAATCAAGTCCCTAGTTGTTAATTGTTTTTTCAGAATGTAGATGTCCTTATCACTCAATTTAACAGTAAAACTCAACATCTTGTCAGAAGAGATTAGCAAGATTGAATGAGTGTTCTCATAGGTCAGTTACTTATATGTATAGCCCTGATGTACAAGCTTCTCAAAACTCATAAGATTCATCTCCAGCTTGGGAACATAGTGAATGTTCTGCAGCAGCAGATTCACTTCTTCAACTGGTATATTCACCTTCTCTATAGCTGTTGTGAGAGCTGTTGATCTGTCAGTCATCTTCAATATGATATTAATCTTCTGTGGCACTATCAATATGAGATCCTTGTAAGATGTAGCATGGGCACTGGATTCAGAGTCCAGAACCCAGATATCTTTACCAGTTTGATCAGTAGAATAGACTGTTTCTATTGTATGAAATACTTGCTCAACAACATTATGAACTGACACTGAGCCTGTTTCATTCTTATCCTTATCCTTACCACGGCTAGTAGAGTGTTTTTCAGGAAATTTCAATCAGCAATCTGTTTGAATGTGGTCAATCTTCTGACAATGATAACATGTTTTAATAGCATTATTACTCTTTCTATTCAGCTTGATGGAATCTTTGTTCTTATTCTCAGAGATCTTCTCTTTCTTCTTATCCTTTTTATTCTTTCTGTTGGAATCTTGAGCATTATTTGCAGGATTTTTCATGAATTCAGTACTTGCTTCATTTGCAGCAGAGAGCTGCAAAAGAATATCACAGCACAGACTTATAAAATCATTCTCTAAGAATTGAGTATTATCTTTGTCAATTTGATTCATTCAATTTCTTATGAATGAGGCTCAATCTCTGTTGACTCCTGTAAGCAGTCTGTTGAAAAACATGACATCTGAGATCTCATATTCTAGACAGATATAATCAGTTCTTATGATAATCAGACATTCAATGAAAGTGTGATCTGAGCCTTTTGACTTAGCAGTCATACTAATCAGTTCCTCAAACAGACAGGTTCTGCGGACAGCAGGCCTCTCAGAAAAGTTATCCTCTATGATAGTTCATAGAGCATAAGCAGACAACTTGAATTTCTTGAGTATAGTGAAATGAGCCTTGGCCTGCAGGACAATTGCAGACCATATGTAATTGTATAATCAAAGATTGTGTTCTTTTCAGAAATGTTACATGTCCATGATGACATTCTCATCAAGGTCATTATCTTCAAGAATATCATCAGTTTCAGACTGTTCTGCAGTCAAAAGGATTTCCTCTCTTCACATTGAGTAGTTAATGAATTCAGTGAGAACTATTAGTCTTTTGATGAGTCTTACTTAGCTTCTGAATTCTTCAAGGACTTTCATTATGACAGATGTCTTCTCTTTTCATTGAAGATATTCTGTCAGATCCGCTCTCATCTCATCACTTGCAAGAGTCTCACCCCTACTGGTCTTCATACACTCAACCTCATGCTGAAGTCTCGCAATTTCAAGCCTCATACAAGTCTTCTCACTCACTGAGCTATTGTCATTCCAGTCACTTGAGCCCCCCGCATTGTCTGACATCTCACTGATACCTTCAATCAGGTCTTCATATTCATTGAACTCATCAGACTGTTCTTCTGCAATGATTTTATTCAGCTCAAACACTCTGAGAGCCACCTTCTGATTCATTATTGATATTAGCAGTGATCTGTGATCTTGCATTTACTGCTCTGGTGTTTTCTCATTTCTTAATCTTGAAGGTACATATTCTTTTGTTAAGTCAGGCATCCCCCCAGATCTTAGATTAACCATGGGTTCAATTAATCAATAAAAAATATCTAGGCACATGTAATGATACATGGAGATGTAGTTGGCACATTATTGCGGTTATTCGTTGCTTGTGAAGGGCTTCATAATCTCTTGAAGAATAACATTGTTGTGTTGTAATCTAACTACGCGAGTTACACTAAATGAATAGGTTGGGGTGGCACGTGACTAGAGTAGATGTAGTAATCACCAACATGATAATTATATAATCTGAAGATTGAAAGAGGTCTGCTGAGTGAAGAATTTCTGATACATAAGATTATCTGATAACTGATATTTGATATCACCTGCAAGAGTAAGAGTTCTCTTGCACTTCAAAGAATGATCTTGCTATATTTGAGTGTGAGAGCTGCAGAATATGAAATATGACCTTATTCTCAGACTCAATTGATTTCAAAGGTTCAACTTACAGATTCAATGACATACATATCATATGCAGTTAACTGATAGAAAGAAAATGGTTCATATGATTCTATCAACTGATATGAGAAGAACATTTCACACCTCTGATATAGAAGAGTTAAATCTGCTTACACATTAACAAGCAAAGAGAACAATTTGCAAGATCTTATCTGAAAGCATTCTGTATATCATACAGGACTCAGAAGTGAAGAAAATCAAGATAAAGAATATGTATAAGAACAAGTGTATAAAGAAGCTTCTGAAGAAGTATGAGAAGATCTTCTGAACAGATCTTTCATCAGAATTGCCACCAGAACAAGGATTTGTACATGAGATTGACACAGAGAACACAAAACCAGTCAATCAGAATATGTACTCTCTGTCACAAATGCATTTCAAAGAACAGAAGTGTCAGATCACAGATCTTCTAGAATATGATCTCATACAATTCTCATCAAGCATGTGAGACTTTCCAGTTCTATTCATGAAAAAGATGAATAAGAAGTGACAGATGTATATCAATTACTGAGCACTCAATAAGCTTATAATCAAGAATGAATATTCACTGTCATAAATTCAACAACACTTGAATACAGTTGAAAATGCCTGATATCTATTGAAGATCAATCTTCTCTCAGAATACTGACAGATCTGCATAGATGAACTGTCAGTCCCACGAACTGCATTTAATACATAATAAGAGAAGTTTGAATTCCTGACAATATCATTCAGTCTGACAAATGCATTCATCATCTTTCAAATGATAATGAATATGATTCTTTATAAACAGAATAAAACCTCATGTCTCATATATCTCAATGACATTCTAGTCTTTTCAAACTCATATAATGAACATCTGAAGTATCTCAATGAAGTGCTTATAACTCTGACAGAGTATAACCTCTACATTAAATCAATTAAGTGTGTGTTTGAAATGAAAGAGTTGAAGTTTGTAGAATATGTAGTAAGTGATGACTGTATACATCTTATTCTGAAGAAATTGAATGTCATAGTGAATTAACTGCAGCTGAGAAACATACATCATATACAACAGTTTCTTGAGTTGATCTCATACTACTGCAGATTTATCAAGAATTTCACATAAATATCTGCATCACTCTCAGATCTCTTAAGAGAAACAGATGCAAATCTGTGAAAGAAGAAGTTTTATTCAATTATCTAGAATATTGTGTGTGAAGAGGCTTTTCTCACACTGAGAGAATGTATAATAACATTCTCAGTGCTTATTCAATCAGATTATGATAAATCTTTCTATATTAAGATAGATGCATCTGAATGAGCTATCAGAGGCACTCTTCTACAGATGAGTAAGAACAGCAAGCTGCACTCAGTGATGTACAATGATAGAAAACTATTAAGTGTCAAGCTCAATTACTCAGTGTATGAAAAGAAATTGCTAGTGATTAAGCACACACTGATATTATGAGATAGATATATTGACAACAGACATATAGTAATGATAATTACAGATCACAAAAGTCTCATCTATCTATAATTAATAATAAAATCTTTCAAATGCTTAGCATGTTGAATCTCAGAGTTTTAAGTGTATAATCTTCATATCAAATACTGAAAGAAATCAGACACTGTGATATCTAACACAATCAGTTACAGATCTGATTTCATGAGTGAGAGTTCTACAAATCAGATATAAGAGACATTCACATTAAACATGCTGAGAGAATGTAAGAAATCAGAATAAGTGAACACTATGATCTCTTACTTGAAGAATGACAAGATATTGAATGATAAGCATCTTATAAAAGTAGTAGAAGAGATGCTTCTGAACTTCAAGCTAGAGAAATTGAAAAATGATGTTATGCTTTACTATGATCTAGAATACACAGAAGCTCTCTATCTAGAATCTTCATTTAGACATGACTTGATAGCTCATATGCACAAGGAATTCAGCCACTTAGAAAGCTCTGAACTCATGAGTGTACTTGAATCAAGAGTATACTGGCCAAGCATGGCTGAGAACATTCAGACATACACTCATGAATATCTGAATTATCAGGTTGTGAAAGAATCTAAGAAAGAATTAGAATGCAAGAAAGTATAACATCAGATGAAGTGTATAATATAACTGTTCAAATGATGAAGAGTGAATCTCATAGACATATTATCATGAACATCAAATGAAAATCAATGAATAATCACTGTTATTGATTATGCTACTGACTGGCCAGTCATGAAAGCAGTTTCAGAGATGATAGAGAAGATGATGATGAAGTTTCTATATGATGAGATCTATGTCAACTATGAAATACTGTGTGAGATTCTAACTGATAACAGTGTGAACCTTGTAGAAGAAGCAGTGAGGCATTTTGTAGATCAGTTACAGACAAGACATTGTAGAACAACATCATATCATCTATGAATGAATAAGAAGGTGAAATGCTTGAATGAAATCTTGGGCAATATGCTGACAAAATATCTAGTAAGCAAGCCTACAAGACTATGAAATGAATATCTCGGGCAGGCACTACTGGCCACGCGGATTCGACAGCATGCAGTCATCAAGTGTTCATCATTCTACCTGTTTTATGGATTGCATCCGCGCATCCCAGAGAATGCTTCAGAAAAGGTGAGAGAGAAAGCAGTTGCAGACACAGCAGAAACAGCAGTTACACACACAGCAGTAGCAGTTGCAGACACAACAGTCACAGACATGAAATCAAGATTGAAAGAGATCAGCTATGCACATGCAAAAGCTAATGAGTTACTTCTGAACTGAGCAATTTAATTGAAAAGAATATGAGACTCACTTATTAAGAAATTGAGTCTCAAGATGAGAATGTGAGTTCTTGTACATAATAAGAGTTCTGAGAAGTTTCAATCTAGATGATTTGAGTCATATAAAATACTCAAATCACATTCTCTGAGAATGTATGCATTGAAAGAATCAGAGAGATGAGTCTTACACAACTTAATCAATAGTTTATAACTTATGAAAGCAAAGATGCAAGACTTAAGTGAATTATGATTATCTACAGCACTATTGTCAGTGTTGAAAAAGAAGAGACTTATAATTGAAAAGTCTCACAAAGTAAGAGAAATCATAGATGCTTACAAATCAGATGATCTCACTTATTCTGATCTTTTCACAATTACAAGGAAAGAATGAGAAGAAATGAAGAAATCAGATGAATATCACACTTCAATAAGTGATAAGACTGTAGTCAGTCATATAATAACACACTACAGACAATGAGGGTAATGCAGCAAAGAGTGATCTCAAAGCAGTAGACTTGCACATGAATCAGGTCACAGAAGAAAAAGAAATTCAGAGTTGAATTCAACTGTTTATATCAGTTCAATTGCAGAGATCACAGAGAATGAACTATCTGAAACATTCACAGATGCATGAAATCAAGTCATCTCAACCTCTGAGAATGCTCAGAGATTAGACAAGGTTAGTTTTAATAAGCTATTCACTGTAGTGATCTGAGTGAGTGAAGAGAGACAGTATAATGTACAAGACAGAATTATAAAAGATGAAAGCTGCTGAATCTAGTCACTGAACACTGTATTATATAGAGATTGTGTAAGAGTAGTGACTAGCAGATAGAGAAAAAGTATAAGAAAAGAAATGATGAATTGATCATCAACTGTAAGAATCAGCTGTAAAAGACAAATGTTATCATACACATCTCATTCATTTTCATACATCACATATTTAATCTATTTCCAACATCATATCATCTGAAAAACATCAAAAATAAAAGAAATCTCAAAACTTGAGATTCATAAGAAATTTGAGAATTGCAAGTCACTCTTGTAATAATACTGTACATGTCTCTGATTCCTCTATCACTCTGTGTATAATATTAATGTCATTTATCACAAGATTGACTGAAATGTCAATATAGAAATGCACACACATACATGTAGAGAAATTGAAGAAGAGTGCAGGACCTGCAGAACCAGAAGCCAGAACAGAGAAAATAAAGATAAAAGAAACAGAAGAAGAAGAAGACACAGAATCAGATAAACAATAAAAGTCACTCAGAGCTAAATACTTATAATCTGATGTGCATACAACCTTCTCTGCAGAGAAGAGAGAAGAAGTGATGAGAGAAGCTTGAGAGCAGAAGAGAGTAGTCTTAGCAGTGTTATCATCTTCAATTAAAATGACCTCTGGCATCAGAGTAACTAAGAACTATTATTAGTGTACAAAACTGTAAAAACAGAGATAACAATTACTGAATGAACACCTGCTGATCTTAGAATTGTATATATAATTACAACACATACAAGACTTCTCAGAAAGAGAGAGAGAGACATGAGAGAATACAGGAAGCAGAACATAGCATGTGAATAGCTCATTTTCATAATAACATCTCAGACAAGGTGTACAAGCCTCACACCTGTGAGTGTAAAAGAGTATGACATTCATGTTTCTGTTTCTGAAAACACAGATATCTTTCACCTGCATT